CCTAATCAGTCATCACATTAAATATCAATGTGTCAAGCACCAGAATAAAACTCGCAGGTGAGACTTTTTTAAAAAAGCAAGGCCCGATTATATACTGCCTACAAAGAACACATTTTATTTATAAAGATACAAATAGGTCAAAAGGAAAAGAATAGAAAAAGATATACTGTGCTAACACTAATTTTAAAAGAGAGGGCATGACTATATTAATATCTACTATTAGACAAAGTAGATTTCAGAGCAAAGAATATTTCTAGGAGTTAAAATGGCATTCATAGTAATAAAGGAATGACTTTCAATAGAAAATGAAAGTCCTCAATATATGTGCATCTAATAACAGGATTTCAAATTACACAAAGCAAAAACTGATAGAACTATAATAACCGAGAGATAAATCTACAATTATAGTCAGATATTTTAGTGCCCCATCTCAATATGTAATAGACTCTATAGATAGAAAACCAAAAAAATTTATAGAAGACTTGAACGTTACTCATTCTACAACTTAACCTGGTGGACATTGACAGAACACTTCAGCCAACAACAGAATACACATTCTTTTCAAGTGCATATGGAATATTTACCAGAATAGATAATATACCCTGGGACATAAAACAAGTCTTCATAAATTTAAAAGGATTAAAGTCTTATAAAGTTTGTTTCTGACCACAACAGAATTAAACCATAGAATAATAGCAAAAAAATAACTGGAAACACCCCCCAAATTTTTGAAAACTAAATAACACATTTATAAATAACTTATACATTGAGGAAAAAATCAAAAGGGAAATTCTGAGTTGAGTAGAAATCAAAATTCAGCATTTCAAATTTTGTAAATACTGCTAATATAGTACTTAGAGTGAAATTGATAGCATTAAAGTCTGTATTAGAAAGGACAAAAGATTAATGAGCTCAACTTCCACCTTAGGAAACTGGGGGAAAAAATTAAATCCAAAATAAGCAAAAAAAAAAAAACCAAGCAGAATAAAGGATATAACAATGAGAACAGAAATCAGTTAAACAAAAAACAGAACAATAAAGAAAATCAATTTAACCAAATACTAGTTATTTGAGGATATCAATAAAATGGTTAAACCTCTAGCCAAAATGAGCAGAAAAAAAGAGAGAAGACACAAATTCTCAATACTGGGAATGTGAGGGAAACATCAGTACAGATTCTACCAATATTAGAAGAAAAAACTTTATTATGTACAATTTTATACCAATATATTTGATCAATTTCTTAAAAATTGAATTTGTAGTTAAGAAGCCCCTGACTCAAGAGGTTTCACAGAAATTCTGCTAAACATTTAAGGAAGAAGTAAAACCAGTTCTACAAAAAACTCTTCTAGAAAATGGAAGAGGAAGAAATACTTCTCAGCTCATTTTGGGAGAACATCATTATCCTGACTCAAAAACTAGACAGTAATACATGTAAGAAAATAAAACCACAGACAAATATTTCTTTTGAAAATAAATGAAAACATTCTTACCAAAATTTTAGCAAATTGGATCCAACAATGTATAACAAGGCAAATACATCTGACCAAATTGAGTTTATTCTGGAAAAGCAAGATTGGTTAAACATTCAAAAATCAGTGAGTGTTAGTCACCATATTAACAAGCTAAAATGCAAAATTATGTGATTATTTCTACAGATGCAAAAGGCAGCCATTCCTGATTTTTAAAAAACAAAACAAAAACCTAAAAATCTCCCAGAAAACTAGGAATATAAAGAAACCTCTTCAACTCAATAGTGTATCTATGATTTCTTCCTCCATAACATCAAGAAGGCAAGAACGTTTGCTCTTACCATCTTTAGCAACATTGTCCTGGAGGTTCTAGCCAGATTGAAAAGAAAGTAAATATCTTTATTCAAAGACAACATAGTCGTCTATGTTGGAGAAAAAAAAAAAAACAACTCTGTGGAACCTACCCCCTAAAAAAGCTATGAGAACTAGTAAGCAAGTTAAACAAGGTTTCCAGATACAAGGTCAATACACAAGAATCAATTGTATTTATATACTAGCAAGGAACAATCAGATATGAAAGTATAACACAATGTCATTTACAATGACATCAAAAGTACTAATACTTAGGCAAAAATCTGACAATATATGTGCAAGACCTATACACTACTATAAAGCATTGCTGGGAAAAATGTAAGATGACTTAAAGAAAGATACTGTGCTCATGGGTCAGAAGATACATTATTGTTAAGATGGCAATACTTCCTAAATCGATCAGCAGATGCAGTGCAATCTCAGTGAAAATCCCAGCAGACTACTTTGTAGAAATTGGCAAGCTAATTCTAAAATGTATATGGAAATGCAAAGGATCGAAATAACTTTGAAAAGGAGCAAATCAAGACACTGTGCTAGTGGCATAAAATAGACAAATAGAAAAATGGGAAAAGACAGAGTCCATAAATAGATCCACACGTATATAAGCAACTGATTTTAAATAAAAGTACAAAAGAAATTTAGTAGAGAAATGTAGTTGTCTTAACAATGATGCTGGAACAATTGGATATTCTTATGCAAAAGCAAAGAATCTTAATCCATACCTTGTAACATATAATAATAAAACTTCTAGCAGAAAACACAGAAGAAAAACTTTGTGACCCTGGTTTAGGCAGGGTTTTTAAGATATAACACCAAAAGCACAATCCATAAGAGAAAAATTTGATAAATTAAACTTCATCAAATAAAGATTTTCTGCTCTTTGAAAGACACTATCAGAGAATGAATAGACACACTAGGGATTGGGAAAAAATGTTTATAAATCATATAACTGATAAAGGAGTTTTTATTCAGAATATATAAAGAACTCTCAAAGTCAGTAATAAGGAAGCAAACAGTTCAATTAAAAATGGGCAAAGAATCTAAATCGCTATTTCTCTAAAGATGATACAGATGACAAATAAGCACATGAGAGATTCTCAACAGCTTCAGTTATTAGAAAAAGCAAATTAAAACCACAAAGAGATATCATAGTATTAGAATAAAAATGTCCAAAGTTAGGAAGACTGACCATGCTAAATGTTGGCAAAGAATGTAAAAGAACTGGAACACTCATACACGGCTGGTGAAAATGTAAAATGGTATAACCACTTTAGAAAACAGCGGGGCAGTTTCTTAACATGTTACATTTACACATACCATGTGATCCATTCATTATGCTGGTAGGTGTTTACCCAAGACAGATGAAAGCATGTGTCCATACAAAGAATTGTACATGAATTTTCATAGTAGCTTTACTTGTAATAGCCAAAAAGTGGAAATCACCCAAATATCCACCAACGGTTGGGAAAAAAATTGTGCTGTATCCATACAATAGAACACTACTCAACAATAAAGGAACACACTTATAATACATGCAGCAACATGGATAGATGGCAAAATAATTATGCTGAGTAAAAGAAGCCAGACATGAAAGAGTGTATGATTCCATTTATTTAAAACTCTAGAAAACGTCAACTAATATATGGTGTCGAAAGCTGATCAACGGTTGCAGAGGCTGGGATACAGGGAGGCACGAGGGAGGAACTATTAAGGATTCTTGGTGGTAATGGTTATGTTCACTATCTTGGCTGTGATGCTGGTTTTAGAGTTGAATACAAATATCAAAACATCAAATTGTACACTATAAATATTTACAGTTTATTGTATGTGAATGCTGTTTTTAAAAATAAGATTAAAGCCAAAAAAAAAACCAAGTAGGACTCACTACCGGAATTTGTACTAGTAGTAAACATGACAGAAAAACTATGTCGTGTAAATTTGTTACAGACACTATATTTTAAAAGACCTCAATAGATACTTTTTAAAGCCAAGAACTCTTTTGTAAAAGTAATCTTGATTGCTGAATTTTTCTTTGTGATTTCTGTTGTGATATATTGTGTTTCCTTCAGAAAGATAGGCATAAGGTCAGGCATGGTGGCTCACACCTATAATCGCAGCACCTTGGGAGGCAGAGGCAGGAGGATTGCCTGAGTCCTGGAGGGTTCAAGACCAGCCCAGGCAAGTTGGTGAGACCACATCGCTGCAATAAATCAAAAAATTTGCTGGGCATGGTCCAGCTACTTGAAGGCTGAGGCTGCAGTGGCTCTGAATATATCATTGCCCTCCAGCCTGAGCAACAGAGTGAGAATCCTATTAAAAAAAAAAAAAATGTCTACAGGGTTAGTGATGGCACAAGCCCACATCTTTCTGAGAGTTGAGCAACAATAACTTGATGCTGGTTGTGCTTCACCTTGACGCGGCAGAGGACAGATGTGACAGCTGACTGTATCTACTCGTTAGTATGTCTACTGTTTAATTCACTTGTTAAATTATGTATTGTGATTAGGTAGTTACTCTACTTGGCATCTTGGCCAAACTGCAACTTAGGAACTTACCTGTGCTTCATCAAGACAGCATTATAAATGCTTCCAAACGATTCATTTCCTCTTAACACAAATCTCAATGAGTACTTGCCTTGGGACTATTTATATGTGAAAGTTCCTTTTCAGCAGTCAAACAAAGTAAGGGGTACCAAATTTTAAAAGTATTTTAAAGTATGTAAGTTTTAAGTGTTCCATGAAAAGATGTGACTTTGGGGCATGGTGGCTCACACCTAGTCCCGCTGCTCAGGGGGCTAAGATGGGAGGATTGCTTGAGCCCAGGAATTTGAGACTGTAGTGAGCTATGATCTTGCTGTTGAACTTCAGCCTGGGCAACAGAGCGAGACTCCATCTCAAAAAAAAAAAAAAATCTAATCTGGCTTTGTTACCATGGAGTAAAAGAATGCAGTAAATGGAAAGGATAAAAGTCAGCAGTAGAACTTGACTTTCCAGATGTGTTTTCTGAGTTCATTGTACTTGGCAAGCATGAACGTGCTGGTTGGCAATTTTGCTCCTTTCTGCCGGGCTCATGGCCATGGGACCCAGGAACCGTGTTCTTTCTCGCCTTGCCTCTCTGACTCTATAGCTGCAGTGACTCGGCCTTTCTGTCTTTCAGGGTGTGAACGGCATGTCTGTGGATGAGAAGCCTGACTCCCCCATGTATGTGTATGAGTCCACAGTCCACTGCACCAACATCCTCCTGGGCCTCAATGACCAGCGGAAAAAGGATATTCTCTGTGACGTGACTTTGATCGTGGAGAGGAAGGAGTTCCGGGCCCACCGGGCTGTGCTGGCTGCATGCAGTGAATACTTCTGGCAGGCGCTGGTCGGACAGACGAAAAATGACTTGGTGGTCAGCTTGCCTGAGGAGGTACAATCATTTGGTTTGTGCAGTTGTGAATGGACGATTATTGACTTACAGAAAACTGGCTGAGGGCCGGGCACTGTGGCTCATGTCTATAATCCCTGCACTTGTGGAGGTCAAGGAGGGAGGATTGCTTGAGCCCAGGAGTTTGAGACCAGCCTAGGCAACATAGTGAGACCTCGTCTCCACAAAAAGTAAAAAAAAAAAAATTGGGTGCGGTGGCTCACAGCTGTAACCCAGCACTCTGGGAGGCAGAGGTGAGAGGATTGCCTGAGCCCAGGGGTTTGGGATCAGCCTGGACAACTTGGTGAGACCTCGTCTCTACAAAAAATTAGCCGGGCATGGTGGCATGCACCTGTAGTTCCAGCTACGTGGAAGGCTGAGGCAGAAGGATCGCCTGAGCCCAGCAGGTCAGGGATGCAGTGGCTGTGAGTGTGCCACTCCACTCCAGCCTGGGTGACAGAGCAAGACTCTGAATCAAAAAAAAAAAAAAGTTAGCCAGGTATGGTGGCATGCACCTGTAGTCCCACCTACTTGAGGAGCTGAGGTGGGAGGATCACGTGAGACCAGGAGTTGAGGCTGTCTTGAGCCATAGTCGATTGTGCCACTCCACTCCAGCCTGGGTGACAGAGTGAGACCCAACTCAAAAAAAAAAAAGAAAAAGAAAGAAAGAAAGAAAAAGAAACTGGCTGACTAGTAGCTAGAAGGTATACCATGTGCCACATCCCCTGTCCGGGTCTGATGTCACCCACACGTTAGGTCTGTGGTATAGTCAGTTTCTATTTGATACATTTGAAGCCTCAGAGGTGCAGAATATGAACAGAGCCTCTTTCTTAAGGGAACCGAAGCTCACCTGCGGCTCCGTCACTCGTGGTTTCTAGTTCACTTGCGCTTCAGGTTTTGAGTAGTTCAGCCTCAGTTTGGTGCAGTCCTGGAAGTGGGATTTGAATCGCTATGCTGATTTCTGTCTTTCAACTGGCGTAAGGACTGCTCGGTTTCCCTTGAGAGGATGAGCATCAAGGCATGCACAGCACCTTCCTTGCTTGGGGGGAAATAAAAGCAGCCAGTAAACGCAGCAGCCGTTGACATAAGAAGGTTCTAAGAAATGTAAATGCGCTTTTCTCACCCTTGTTGAAAACACCCCACTCAGGTTTCTTCATTACTTCAATGAGTCTAGTCGTCTTAGTACTTTTGGGGACACCAGTCACTGGACCTGCTCTTTCCAGAGATGACAGTCAGATGGCTTGAGCCGCAGGAATTTTGGAGCCGTACACAGTTGCTCTTCTTCCATCATCCTGACTTCCTTCATGTTCTTGGGACTAGGGGTGACACTTTGTGTTCAGGGCAGAATAATCCCCTATGTACCACCAGCTCTGTGAACAGCTCTCAAGCCACCACCAACAGTTGCACAAGCTGTGTACTGCACCACTCTTGGAAATACACCTTTTTTTTGCAAAATCGTACCCCCAGAGCTGTGCAGTGTTCCACGGAGCAGCTCTTCACAGCAGCCTTAGGAGACACCAAAGACCCCATCACCAAATGTGAGGTGCTCATGGTTACGACTAGCCTTAAATTCCAGGGGTCACAAACCCAGATGCCTTCAGAGGCCTGGAAAATAGTATGATTGACTAAAGCAGGCTGTATATAAGACAGCAGGAAGTGACGGGATAAATACCTGCTCCACCGAAAGGCATTCAAATTCAACATAAAAAATACGGGCCAGGTACGGCAGCTCTCTCCTGTAATCCCAACACCATGGGAGGCCAAGGCAAGAGGATCACTGAAGGCTCGAAGTTCGAGACCAGCCTGGCAACATAGCAAGACCTTGTCTATATCAAAAAAAAATTAGCTGGGCATGGTGTCACACACCTGTCGTCCCAGCTCCTTGGGAGGCTGAGGTGAGAGGATTGCTTGAGCCCAAGAGTTCAAGGCTGCAGTGAGCTATGATCACACCATTACACTTCAGCCTGGGCACCCCAACTGTACAAAAAACAAATAGGGAGGCACGGTGGCACATGCCTGTAGCCCGAGCAACTCAGGAAGCTGAGGCAAGCTCTCTTGAGCCCAGGAATTGAAGTGCAACCTAGCCAGACACTGTCTTTTAAAAGAAAAAATGAATTTAACATGTTTAAAAAGAAAACAAGTAGGAAAACAAGATATGGCAGGTGGAGAGGTCATCAGATTTCTGTCCCTGATTCAACAACAGCTGATGCACCCCTGCTCGGCAGGAGAGCGGCCAGCTGTTGAAGATGAAGATTGCATAAGCACTCACTCAGCATTTTCCCATTAGTATCTTGGTCATGTACTTGCCATAGGAAGCTCTGTCACCACCCCTCATGCCACTAGCGGGTTGAAAGCTAGAGAGGTTCCAGCACCAGGGCAAAAGGACATGATCGATCAGCTGAAGATGATGTACTTGCGGCTGGGATGGGGTGGAGGGTGAAGCATTATGTACCAAGGAACGTGGGAAGGCCGAGGAACAGCAGCTGTGGTATTGGCAGAGAATCCTGAGCTGGATTTTCCTCATCCACAACAATGGGGGCAGCCGGGTTGCCATGAGGATTCTGTGAGATGATAGTTATTAAAGTTCTCAGGGCTGGGCATGGTGGCTCACGCCTGTAATCCCAGCACATTGGGAGGCTGAGGCGGGAGGATTGCTTGAGCCCAGGAGTTTGAGAGCAGCCTGGGCAACATAGTAAGACCTTGTCTCTACAAAAAACATGAAAACAAGCCGGGCTCGGTGGCTCAGCCTTAATCCCGCGCCTTTGGGAGGCTGAGGTGAGTGGATTGCCTGAGCCTGCGGGTTCGAGACCCACCTGGGCAACTTGGTGAGGCCTCATCTCTACAATAAATCAAAAAACCAGCTGGGCATGGTAGGGCATGCCTGTAATTCCGGCTACTTGGAAGGCTGAGGCGGAAGGATCGCCGGAGCCCAGCAGGCGAGGTTGTGGTAGCCAGGAGCAGCCACTGCACTCCAGTCTGGGCAACAGAGTGAGACTCCAACTCAAAAAAAAACAACATAAAAACAAATTAGCTGGGTGTGGTGGCATGTGCCTGTTAGTCCAGCTACTTGGGAAGCTGTGGCAGAAGGATCATCTGAGCCCAGGAGGTCAAGGCCGCGATGAGGTCCAGTGCAGTGGCTCAGCCTGTAATCCCAGCACTTTGGGAGGCCAAGGCAAGAGGATTGCCTGAGCCTGGGGGTTCGAGACCAGCCTGGGCAACTAGGTGAGATTTCGTCTCTACAATAAATCACACACACACACAAAAACTAGCCAGGTGTGGTGGCATGCATCTGTAGTTCCAGCTACTTGGAAGGCTGAGACAGAAGGATCACCTGAACCCAGCAGGTCGAGGCTGTGGTGGCCGTGAGCATGCCACTGCACTCCAGTCTGGGTGACAAGAGTGAGACTCCAACTCAAAAAAAAAGAAACAAGGCCACAGTGAACCATGACTATTCCACTTCACTCCAGCCTGGGCGACCCCAACTCAAAAACAAAAGTTCTCAGCACAGTGCCTGTCCCCTGGTCACCTAGAAGGACAACAACAATGCCTTTCTTATTGACTCCAGTTCTAGAATTATCTGAGAATATTTTTAAAACTTCCATTATCCAGAATCATCTCGGAGAAAGTCAATTTATTATCTGTTCCCCAAGAACCATTTCATTTATATGTTTTTTACTGATTTAAAAAAAAAAAAGCTATATTAAATTATAATCAAAACCGTACTGTATGTAATTTCGTCTCTCTGTGGTCACTCTGTCGGCCCATTCTTGAGACTCCCTTAACCCGGTGCTGTGATCCTGGGCCCACCCCCACTTTGGCACTGGGATTTGGTCTAGTCACATAATCTCTCCAAGCCCCAGTTCTTACCTGTACAAACTTCTAAAATTCTGAAGTCCTTGAATTATTTATCAAATGCAACACCAAAGACAAATGTCAAGGAACTGGGATGCCAATGTATATATATGATATATGACATAAACCCAAAGTGTCTTTTTAATTTTATTTATTTGTTTATTTGTTTATTTATTTATTTATTTTGAGTCGGAGTCTCACTCTGTCGCCCAGGCTGGAATGCAGTGGAATTATGCTTACTGCCACCACAGCCTCAACCTGCTGGGCTCAGGCGATCCTTACACCTCAGCTTTCCGAGTAGCTGCATGCACCACCGTTGCCGGCTAATTTGATTTACTGTAGAAATGAAGTCTCACCAAGTTGCCTAGGCTGGTCTCAAACCCATGGGCTCAAATAATTCTCTCTCCTCTGCCTCTCAAAGTGCTGGGATTACAGGCGTGAGCCACCATGCCCGGCCTTAAAGTATCTTTTTTTTTTTTTTAGATCAAATCCCTGATAATTGCTTGTTTCTTTCTTTTTCTTTTTTTTTTTTTTTTGGAGTTGGAGTCTCACTCCACCCAGGCTAGAGTGCAGTGACACACTCACAGCCACCCCACCATCGACCTGCTGGGCTCCAGCAATCCTTCCATCTTGCCTTCCAAGTAGCCCGAACTATAGGCGTGCGCTACCACGCCCAGCTAATTTTTGATTTATTGTAGAGATGAGGTCTTGCCAAGTTGCCTGGACAGATCTCAAACCCATGGGCTCAGGCAATCCACTCGCCTTGGCCTCCCAAAGTGCAGGGATTACAGACTGAGCCAGATAATTGCTTATTTCTACTTTAAATTTTTTAAGTAGAGGTATATTATATAGACACTGCACAAAAGTCTACAATTTGACCTTTTGGATTGATTCCAATGAAGTGGGAATTTGCTGTGTGCTAGTTTCCTTCTTCCTCACCCTGTATAATAACTGCCACCCTACATTAAGTACGTCCTCCAGACCATTGAAATGTTCTGATTGCTCATGTCCCTGAGATCTTCAGACAGAGCCAGATCCTTTCTTTCCTATGAAACATGGATTCATCTTGTCAATAATCCAGCTGCGAGTGTCTTGTTGACGACACATGCAAGCCACGCCAGCCACGTTGGCTTTTTACTTTGTGGATTTGT